GATTTCATTAGCATGTCTCCCCCAGCTCTCCCCCTATTTCAACTTATGGCTCTGAATAGCCAGTGCTGTGAATAGCATTGCTCCGCGCTGCTTCAGAAGGCAGAAACCACACTATACAGCTGGGAATCCTCTTTCTATTCTAGGCTACTTATATTCAAGTAATCCCCCTTTTCTGACTTTCTCTTGAAGAAGGTAGCAAACTTGTAGTTCTAAAGGCAGTCGAGCAAAGAGCACTTCCATTCTTACTTTTAAAACCAGCTCAAAGAAAAAAAGCATCCAGACAATTCATATTTTCCTCAGCAAATCTTTAGCCACGCAGTGTACTACAGTCTTATTATTCCAACCTTTAAGGAACACTTAGGCCTTTCTGCAATCAGGAAAGTCTTAGGTTAATGCTAACCCATTTCACACTAGAAGAATCATGTTACAATCAGATACTTAGATAGGAAACTGAACCTAAAACCACCTCGTACTAATGAATGCTATTAGTCTCCAGCAGCCAAAATTCCAGTGGTACAGATAACCACATTTCTCTGTCCAACCATGGTCTCATATACTACTCTGTGTAATGTTAATTACCTTAGCTGATGTGTTTGTCAAAATAGTTTTTAAGAAAAAAAACAAAAGTCTTTCCAACAACTCCACATGCATCATCCAGTAGGATCACAAGACATCAGTACACTAAAAAAACTCATCTAATATTAGAAATACAATATCATTGTTAAGCCAGTTTGGCTCCATGAAGTACTTCTTGGGGAAAGAAAAAAAATACCCCAAACGAAAACAAACAAAAAACCCCACCAATACACAAATAAAACATCTCAACCCAAAAAACCACCCAGCTACGTTTACACACTGAAGGATAACTTCTACAGTAATTTGATCAAAAACTTTGCTTGAGTTCAAAATAGAACTTTGAGCTCCACAATTTAGCATCAGAGAGCACAGACAACTTCAGAACAGTGTATCACCAAACCTGTGAATAAAAAACTTGTTTTGAACAAACAGGAGACATTTCTAGTAACTCTGTTCTAGAGAAATGGTTCCTATGGTTAAAAAAAACAACCTAAACTCCATTTTAAGAATTTATTTCATAAGTATGTCTTCAAACAAAAATACATATATTCTAAACAGTGGTTCACCAATGCATCTGCCCTTGCTAATCAGTACTATACAGCAGGGATCAGAACCAAACTAGTATGAGAATAGTGTGGGCTCATAACAAGAGACTTAAAAGCAATTCTTTTAGTCAAATGCTTTGCTTGGTCCAATAAGGACATTAAGATTCAATGAATGAAAAAGGGGGTTTAACTATTTCATCTGTGCTGATTTTAATAAGCCCAAATGACATAGTTGGCATTTACTAGGTCATTCTGCCTGAGTAAGCAAAAGGTCACTTAAACTTCTGTATCAGACAAAAGGAGCATCCAAGTTGTGTCTTCAGCTAAAAGTTGAGAACTAAGCTAAAACCTGAAGTCTCATTACCAGTTTCTGCATTCTTTAAGTATCACTGCAGCTACATTACCTGGGCCAAATATCTGCCTTTGAGGGATGTAATGTAACACCTAATCAGGCCTGCTACTAAGTATTAATTAGCTTAGACTAAAACAAACTAAAAACAGACAAAAAAGATCAACCTGTCCTGTTCCCCCACTGACCACACCTTTAGGTCCGATTGCTGTCAGCTGTAGCCCCAAGTCACTGTTTGTACCAGCAAGCTTACTGTTTGCTAACTGTGTTGTATGTGGGAGGCAATTACAATTTACTGCATCTTAACTGCAAAACACTGCTTCTGTTTGTGTGCACTCCTACACTTCAGGTGCACCCATGACCTTATTTTAGGCATTCTATATACAGTGACAGAATTAGAAAACTCCTTTATTTAAAGACTGATGAGATAGAAGATATCCAGCCTATCAAGATATTCATCATACACCCATCAGCATGAAATAGAAAAATGAAACCAACCTTCCTTTCTCCTTCTTTTCTTAGCTGAAACTGAGACAGCTTACAGAATAGAATCATAGAAACATTTAGGTTGGAAAAGACCTTTAAGATCATCAAGTCCAACCGTTAACCTAACACTGCCAAATCCACTGCTAAACTATATCCCTAAGTACCACATCTACATGTCTTTTAAATACCTCCATGGATGGTGACTCAACCACTTCCCTGGGCAGCCTGTTCCAGTGCTTGACAACCCTCTCAGTGACGAAATTTTTCCCAATATCCAATCTAAACCTCCACTGGCACAACTTGAGGCCATTTCTTCTTGTCCTATCACTTGCTACTTGGGAAGAGAGACCAACATCTATGCCCACCTCTAAAAATTTTTATGACAAAAATTTGCATTTTCTCAAATGGTTCTAATTGGCTGAGTTGAACCTGGTGGTAAAAGTTGCCCAAGCTATCAGGTGTCACATTAGGTAGAGCTTCCATTAGGCTTCAACTTATCTCCACTCCACTGTGCTGAGCAAGCAGGTAGCATGTTGTGTCTATGCATTTGGGATTTCCTCAGGCTTTTACTGCTGGTCTGATTAGTTCTATCAATATCAGTGTGACACCACACTAACACCGCTCGCTACACCTAACATATTATTTAAAAAACAGTTGATTCTCTGACAAATACCAGGTTGCGACCATTCAGTTCGATGTTCAACCCCCACTTTGTTGGCTTGGACACACTGCCGTTCCTTCAGTGGTTTGAAATTATAGATTTGCTCAGCAGCAAAGCAGACAAAAGACTTGCACATTCTTAAGTTGACGCTTTGCAGAGCACTACAAAGTTGTTAGTGCAGAAACTGCTAAAAAGAGCTTGTGGGTCTCAAAAGTACAGGGAGTTCATTCACTTAACACTAAAAAGCAGCTGCTGCCTTTAAATAATCCTAAAACAAGATACTTATTTACCCATAGTGTGATTACAGTAGGAATCTGATGTGCATTTTAGAAACAAACACAAAAGCAAAAAGAAACTCTTCTTTTTGTAATTTCCAGTTCCATTCTGAAGTGTTGACACCATAACTATAATGGAATGGACAATTGGAAAACCATGGGCTTCTTGGTGAAAGAAATAGCCTGTGAATACTGCAAGTTTCTAGTGCCTGGAAATTTGTAGCAGACTATTTCATTTTATTATGCCATAGGGAGGTTATGCATGCTCTAGAGGGTTAGACTATATTATTCTCATAAACCATCAGAAATTATCCTCAAGATTCTGCATACATTGCTTCCCCCCACCTCCAAAAGTCTCGAGACACTTCAAAGATTAAGCTTCACAGCACTCTTAAGAGAAAATATAAATGTTTTCCTTTCAGCATTGTGCCAGTTAAAAGTTGAGTCATTCAAGGTTACAAAAATCTGAGACAGATATGAAAAAGGAATCCACATCTCTTCTTAATCTTAATTCTTTCTTCCTTTTAAGATCATCTTGGTTTAAAAAAACCCTCCTAAAAGCGATACAGGATTTATAGCTGTGCTATGAAAACAGATTAGTTTTCTAATCTAATTTCTAATTCCTGCACCAGAAGCTTTCAATTTTTATTTTTCTCATAACTGATGTATTATAAGATTAGAACATCACAGTGATTAGAAATTGGACATGGAAAAATTCAAGTAGACAAACATTCATTAAACAGTATTTACCAATGTTTTCAGGATGTGTATATTTATTACTATGTTGACATTTTGGGGGAATCATAGGGTTAACCTCCACTGTCTCCTCATTTAATCTCCCCTAACACACACACATGCAAAAATTTAGAGGGCATAAAAGGAAGCCTTAGGGAAACAGGCTAAGAAAAGCATTCTCCAGGAGGGAGCAAAGAGGAAGAAGATATACTGACTCCAGCTTACACAGATATCTGTCCGTTCTGAACTCTAAAATACTCACCTTGTATGTATGCTACTTCTGCTTTAAGCCTTTGCTCAAATTGCTGAAGAAAAATCCCTAGCAGTGTCAAACTCCTCTAGGAATGCTAAGCAAGCCTGGTCAATAGACAAAGATACTCTAACCAGGAAACCATCTCAAAGAAGAAACTGTGGGATGGATCATCCTTCAATTCAAGACAGAAGCACCTGAGGCATCCAGCTCTCAACACAAGCAAGAAGAGGTCAAAGACACAGCTTTCTAAAGTGGTTACAGCACATCAGATGGAGTATTGTAGAAACGATTCATTTCGGCCTGTTTCTTGGAAGCTATACATTTTTATATTGCAACACACACAACTAATCCCCCAAAAGTCCAACAGAACTAAATGCCAAGTGCGCAATTCTGGAACAAAGGGAAAAAGACAAAGTCCACACTTTCCACCACAGTATAGATGCAGCAGCACATCAGAAAATACTGCATAGTAGCCCTGACCTGAAAAAAGTTATCTCTGAGGCCAGAGAAGGGATGAGTTCATATCTATTCAGTTTCTTGTCACTAAGACTATCAAGAAAATGCTGCCAATTATCACCAAGTAACATAGCATCTGCACTGTGAGCAAAATCAATCAATTTAAAATAACAAAGAACTATCATATACTGTACATAAACACTATCCATGCCTTAATTATTTGAGCAAGCAGAAAGCTTAGAAGCTACTTTACCAATCCCCATACTTGTTGGTTGGGAATCTTGCCAGGTGAGAGTAAACTAGAATTCTACATCAATTATTTATTTCATTTTATGTAATATATACTATCAAGCTTTTAAGAATGGAAAACTGTATTCATACAGCTGAAAACTATTCCATAGTACACATAATTAGTGTGTATCACAATGTTGAATGTGAGGAGTAAGTTTTGAAGGATCTAATAATACACGTGCTGCTAAAAGGTGGCTGCTGCACAAAGCAAAACATGCACCAGTTTCTCCCACCAAGTATACCACATGTAATGTTGGATCTTCACAAAACTGTCAGCGATTTAATAAGAGGTTTTTTTACATTCTGTTATAATGAAAAGGTTAGTACTTCTTCACATCCCAGATCAGTTTCAAAAAGCTAAACGAGTATGCCCTGAAAAGAGTCATAAAGAAAAAGGGTAAATAGCAAAACAGCTGTCTTACTAAAAGCAGAGTTTTGTTGACCAAACTACCATTTCTCTTCTTATTTCTTGAACAGGTAGATGCTTCAAACCATTTACACATAGTGGCTTGGAAACAGTTCCCACATCCTAGAATCCTTTAGTGCTTTAGCTGCAAGCTCCACTTCCTTCTGAGGTATATTTAATGCCTTCAAGTTTATCTTCCTAGTTAATTATTATAGAGAAATTCCCCCAACCCTTCTGAGGCTGTAACACTTTATATGAGTACAAAAATAGAAGAAGTGCTATGTTACTCACGCTCAAGGGCTTTGTAGACTCTGGGTACTTTAATAGTGTCCAGGTTTGAGCTGATTAAAGTTATTTCTACTCCAAAATAGGATTTTAATTGTTGATATGTCTTAGGCAACTTACAGTATTTCTGGAATACACAGTAAAGCATCATAGAACCAAACAGAATAAGGAAAATCAGTCACCGGTTGATAGCTTCTCTATTAGCATATTGAGTATATGGGGTTTACGTCCCTTTTTTTTTTTCTTCCTCTCCTTTTTTGGGGGAAATGCAAAGGGAGGTGTAGGGAGGATAAGTGAAGAACTGGGCATTAACAAGACAGAGTAGCTTAGCAAAACCATTTTGACCAGAAGCACTTTGAAAGAAAGTCTTTCCAGGAAGGGAAGTCTACCAGAAAGGGAATGTAATTAAGAAAGAAGAAAAACCCTGTTGTCCTGAGTGTTCCCTGGTGCTTTTTGAGATCACACTTGATTCACTTTCCACTTCAACCGAGTTCCTCCAGAGCAAGTTAACCAGTATAACCAACCCCTGGAGAAAACAGTATACTTTCACTCTCAATCCTCTCGATTGCTTTTCTGGGACAGAGAGTAAGCATCATTTTCATAGAAGCTGAGAACCCACAGTCCCTGCTAATTTCCATGAGAATTTTGGTTTCATAGCTCAACCTCTCTCATATTATCACACTGAATCTTAGTGAGGCATGAATACTCAGGTAAACTGAATTACAGTGAGATGATATTGGTTGAGGAGAACTACACTTTGCTCTAAAGACTTTCAACAATTACTGCTGAGGTCCCTAAAGAACCACAGCAGCATATATTTGAATTGCTTGTAAAGATGATAATAAACATTCACATTTTATGTTCCTACGGTCACAGATTAAATGAACAAAAAGTGAGTTTTAATCACTGAACACTCCGATCATCTCCATCATCTCACTTCAGAGAAAAATGTGTAAAATTAATGTAGTATAAACCAGATTTTAAAACGTAAAAGGTGCTCCTTCAGGAAATTACTTTAGAAGTACTCTTTACTAACCTCAGCTACTCTTTCCAAAAGCGGTTCCAGCCAGTGTTCATTGCATTCACAGTGACTATCCAGGAAGGTCAGTACCTTTGCTTGTGCTGCATCTGCCCCTCTGACACGGGAACGCATCAAACCTGAGAAGATAAAACGTTTGAAGTACCTACTGAGGAAAATAATCAACAGTAGTGAGAAACTACTGCATTCCGAGTTAGCCATGAATTAAATTAACCCAGACTGGACAAACACACAAGTTCCATTATCAAAATGAGAATCTAGTTAATTCAGTGAAATGACTTCACAACAAACAGCCTGCAAGCTTCCAACCTACTGCACCCTAGTCAACAGGTTTCAATCTGATTTAAGTACAATAATTAAAGTACCTTTTAAAAAACATGATACACAAGTACAGCTGAGTCTGCATTACAATAAATGGTATTTATACTGACAAATGTTACTCAGGATTGGTCCTGAAAACAAACACCTTTCCTACAGTTCTACAATAGAACTGAAGAAACAATTTCTCCTCCCCACCTTTTTGCTGCCCACCCCTCCATCCTAGCTGTCATCACACTCTGTCCATTCTGCTATCAACTTCTTCCAGAAATAACCGTGCTTCATTAATTCATGTCCAAGAGCCTTTCCCCCACCCCTTTCAACTCTCTTTTTGCAGTTTAGTGAGGGGTTTGTTTATTTTAAATCTTACCTTGAAGAGATTTCTTTAGGCAGAAACTTCTGGTAAAACCAAAAGGTTCTTCTCTACACCTCAGTTACACAGATCACCTCAGTGATTTTACTCTGTTCCTTTCCTTCCTTCTCTTTTAATATTTGTTCATTGAATGACCTCACCATTCCTTCAAGTCCCTTGCTATATTTACACACATACCCCAGAACACCCTACCATTTACTCCAATCCTCTCATTCCTTTGCAAAATTTCCTCCCTACTTTTCTCTGTTACTATTAAAAATTCATTGATTTCATTGTCACTCAAGACCAAAGCCAACTAATTATGTCATCCCCCGCCCATTTTCTTTCTACATTGTTTCCCACCAAGTCTGTTCTGTTTTTCAGGGTTTTTTTGTTTGGGTTTGGGGTTGGGCGGGGTGGGGGGAAGGGAGTGTGGGGTGGTTTGTTGGTTCCCTCCACCCCGCAACTGAAACATTGTAAAAGAATCAACCCCATTTCTTTCCATTCCCTTTACAAAATAAACCTGCAAAATATGACTCCAACAAACAGAATACAAGATGTTTAAGAGAAACTTGCCTCAAGTTGCGCCAGGAGAGGTTTAGATGGGATATTAGGAAAAATTTTTTCACCAAGAGGGTGGTCAAGCATTGGAACAGGCTGCCCAGGGAGGTGGTGGAGACACCACCTCTGGAAGTGTTCAAAAAACGTGTGGATGTGGCGCTTCAGGACATGGTTTAGGGGACATGGTGGCGCTGGATTAATGGTTGGACTTGATGATCTTGAAGGTCCTTTCCAACCTAGTGATTCTGTGAAAAGCTTGTTTGGTCTGTCCAACATTCAGCCATAAACAGCCACATCAAAATCCTTGTACTATCTCTTACCACAAATGCGAGTGCGTCATTGTTGTAGATATGTGCCATGCTCATGCTCTTCGACAGTACTTTCTACACCTCATGTGTTGCACACTGGCAGCTAACTATACCTCATTGTTTTTATGCTGTTTCCCTAATTCCAACTTTTGAATCAGTTCTATTCAGTTTTTCCACAAAGCATTCCTCAAGCACTCTGGCTATGTTCATTTTACTTCTGCAACTCCTCCCTTCCAGAACTTATTTCTAATTTACATTCTTACAGAATCTTGAAAATGAAAAGCAGAGTTTCAAACTCAAGCATAAAGAGTCAACAATCAAATGAAAACTTAAAATACTTTAGTTTTAAAAATTATCACCTGGTTGCACACACATACGCCTAGGGAAAACTTTATAATCAGTACAGTAGATCCCACAGGTAATGATTTAATCCCAATCTCACAAAAATATCGAGTAAGGCAGTACTGTGCCTTCAATTTGCAAATAGTTGTTCTTTTCTGACATAGTAAAAGATTTGTCAAATCATATTTAATTGTCAGATACACTGATGCATATTTTTAAGTATGAATGAAATTTCAGTTCATCTGTATATGCAGTACAAAGTTAGTATTTATAATTACTAAAAAACAAAACTAAAAAAAAGTGTTACTTGATTCCATTTTTCCATTACTATTATCTCCATCCAAGTACTGTACTGATCAGAGAAATTATACCACCTTACTCAGTACACTGCAACCACGGCAAGTCATAAGGGGCCTGCCTTCCTAACAAGCTTTTGTTCACAAGTATATCCCAAACAAAATATTATACACTACGAGCCCATCAGTTCGCAGTAACTAATTATGGGACCACACAGGTTTTGTGCATGTTATTTCCGATTTCTGACACTCTAATCATTCTAGCTGCTCCCCAGGCCAGGCTGGCAGCCTAGAAGATACAGCACCTATAAAAATAAACAAGCACATATCTGCTAACTCAGTCAGCTATTTCAACTGTCAACTCTCAGTTATTATTTCAAGCAGCTGTAGAATAACAGTTGCCTGTACCTAATACTTTAAGCTCCATAGCCAGGAAGCTGCTGACTGAAGGGCTCAGTGGTATGAGACCATAATTTAGAAAGCAACAAAGAGGAAAACAAAAATGTAAGACAAGTTTGTTATTACATGCACACTGGCTTCAGCAAAATTTCAGCATACATGGTCCCAGCCCACCTGGCTGCTCACACTCTCTCAAGTCTGTCAGACAAACTGTTTGCCAGGCTGTCCATCAACTGGATCCTTAAAATGATCTCTAGTAAGGGAACCAGCAAAAATGAGAGGGCTATTTTTAAGCTGGATGGTTTCAACCATTCATACAGTTTACAGTGAGACTTTACGTAAAATGGGAGCAGCTTAACTGAGGATTCAGTACAGTAGACAAAGGAGAGGTTGAGGGTGACAGGCAATTTCTCAAGTTGGTGAAAGCCAACAACGGGCAACTGTGCACACAACAATACGGAATTAATCAGAATTACTGTTTTTATTTGCACAAATGCATTTGTTTTTATTCATTCCACTAGTAAGTTGGCTTCTAAAGTCAAAAACACCCCTCCAAACAGAATGTATAGCAGAATGTTCCTCTAAGACTTGATTAAGACTTGATGAAGATTAACAGATAAGACAGCCCAGTGGAATTTGTATCTTCCTTCCCCCAGATTAAGCCTACCTTCTCGGCGATCATTTCGAAGAACCCGCACTTTTTCAATTTTTCCCAAGAGAGCACCATCCTCAGCTTTAAAAAAATGAAATAATTAAAAAAATAATCAACTGATGAGAACCAGTTTGATATCAAATACTGTATACCATAAGCGAGGCTGTCTTCAAAGAAAAACAAGAGCTTTGGAGTGGAAAATGTTTATGGTTATAAATAGTTAAATATAAGACATATGCTTAAAAAATCCCACAAAACCTACTTGTCTCACCAGAAATAAAGTTACCAGGCTAAGAAATTACTACCCTCGTTATGTTATTTAAAGCTAATTTAATTTTACACTCTTGAAACATTTTTATTTAATGATATTCTCTTGTCTGTCTTTACACAGTTTTTACATTGTATAAGGAAAAAACCCACAACTTTTATAGGATTAAATAAACTGCTTTCTTTGCATATAAGAAAGTCACTTTTTAACCAACATTAAGGCTCAAACCTATCCTAAACTAAATGTAAACAATGCAAATATAGACATTGACTTCCTTTAAGAAATGTTACTCAGAGGTCCATTTCAATTGTTCAAGTTCATATTGTGATACACTAGTACTTACAAAACCTTGATTTATTTTAGATTCAGTAAGAATTTTCCAAGAGACTAATGGAGACCAGCATTCATTTAAAGCAGTGCTACAAAAATATTTGGTGCAAGTACCACGGGTTTTATTTTTACATCAGACAACATACTCTGTAAAGGCTGTCTTCAGTTATACACTCTGCTCCTTCAGTTATCAGGGAGTAATCAAATATACCTGAAGTATTTATATGAACTCTTCACATTTCCACAGTGATAGATACAAAAGAATTAAGAACTGGTTTTGGATCAGTCTCTGCAAACTCCTATCCATGTGACCTGTTCTTAACAGTCACCTACTAGCATCTACAGAAAGTCTTACCAGAATAAACAAAATAAAATTAAGATCCTGTAAAGTACTTACAATCATTACTGTAGTCATCCACCAGTATGATTTCCTTAATAAGATGTGATGGACTTTTTTTAAGGACACTGAAACAGACAAAAAAAGTATTCAATACTAAGCAGCCTTAATTTTCCATAATAACGTCATAGAAGTAGTTACTGTGTTAAGCCACAGTAGGACCTAGCCAAGAATCCTATCTTCAACAACAGCTATTGGCTTATTCTTACAGAAAGCATTTGTAAAGAGAGGCACACATAGAATCATCCCCCCAACATTCCAGCCTCCAGAAATTAGTGGATTAGACAACTTGTAACATGGAAGTCTTGTCAGATAGCTTTAGGTCAAATATCCCCTGAGAATGCATCTTCCCCGAGTTTTCCTTGAAACTAGTTTTACAGCCAACCTCCAAACATCTTCCAGTAATCAGTTCCACACTTCCATGCATTTGTAGTTAAGGGAGGAGATATTGTTTATTTAATGCTACTATTTCAGAACCTAAGAACTGGAGACATCAATGAAATTAAGGCTCAGCTTTCCCTCTGCAAGTGGTTCAGGAAAGCATAACGGATTGTTACTTCCCTTATCATAAGCTATTGTCTGTCACAAGTGAATGGCTGGGGCAGGGCAGGGCAAGGGGGGGCAATGTGTGTGTAAAAAAAAAAACACAAGGTCTCTTAGGTATACCTGACAACAGTTCGAAGCAAAGCAGATCTTGCCTCGTTATGAAATGTGATCACCACACTGGTGGCTGGCAAATCTATCCGCCATTGTTTCCGCTGACATCTGAAAGACATAATACCCTGTCATTTAAACGTAATCTTTACATCCCAGGCTGAGCAGATAGCCTTCATTACAAAGCAGTTATCTATTAAACTCATGTACACACTACATCTACCTAGGAAGAATGAAATATCTTGTTTGCAGGTGAGTTTATAATCAACTCCTCTTCTGCCACTTTTGGTAGTTGTCTTTGTACACAACAGACTAAGAAGCCAGTGTCAGATATTGGCAAGTTCAGAAAAGTCAGACTATCATCACTGCAGTATGTTGTAAATACATTTCATGCAACTGAGTATAAAACCAGAGCGCTTATTTTACATTAAAAGCAGTCAACAAATCTAAGGAAATGAGCATATTTTTAATGAAAATGCACAGGTTCACAGGCTACCATATGTCTCCTCTTTAGAATGGCACATGTCCACTTGCCCTTTTATTTTTAAAGCTCCTGTAGCATCCCTGCTCTTGCTCATAGATAAAAACAGTCTTCTATTCTAATGAGAAGTTGGAAGGGTTGTAACATTCAGAATTTGAAAAGCAGAGCTAGCTGTGACAATGCTGAGCCAACTAAACACAGAACCACATCCTTCCAAACCACAAAGATAACAAAATACTCCATCTATGTCAACTCATTTTTCATCACCTCTAGTTGCCTGAAATTAATATAATAAGCAAAAAGCAGCAAATCCCAAGATAATTCCTGCAGGACTACATAAAGTTAAACTGTTTAAATCCACTGATAATAAACCTAAAAAAGACACTACCCTCATTGCACTAGAAACTAACAGGACTAGAAAACCCTGTATATAGAGTTCTTGCTGAAAGCATTACAGTCTGACAGGTCATGATACTGATCGCCATTCATGCAGTAACATACACGAGCGATGTATTTCTTCACATATTCCTTTATTTAATATTAGAGTTTTAACAGGCCTAGTTGCCTCCAGGGGGGATAAACCCAGATAGCATACACCTGTAGCAAACTCAGCAAGTAATTCTATATGCCATGCAGTATTAACCAAACTAGCTTTTAAGGGAAGAGAGGTAAATTACATTGCTACCTAAACATCGAAAACTAGGCCTCTGCCTATATAAAAGGCCTCTCCACACACGATTAAACATCTGCGACATGCATCATAAACCACACACCTTCACCGTCACGGAACCAGAGAACTTGTGGCAATATGCTTCTTGCCCACCCTACAAAATCCCAACGACCCGCAGTGTTTTCGATACAAAGCACCCATAACGCCACACACATTAGTGCTTGCTGTGAAATGAAACATTGTGCCGTGGTGACCTAACTCGCTCTGAAGAAAAAACAAAGCCCATGCCAACCCTACAATTGCTGCGCCAAATTAACAAGGCCTTATCTAGCTTTGTTTCTCAAATGGTAGGCGTACAAGATGGCTTCATCACTAGTGCCCCGTGTTGAAGCAAGAAATCACAAGCACGTATGTGTTCCTGGAAGGTAAAGAACTACGACCTTCTCTATTGTAAGCTTCTGGCAATTCATGTAGACAGCTACAAGATGTCCAGCCATTATACGCCAAAGCCTATGGTGCAAAAAAATATATTCTTTTCTCTGCTAACTTTCAAATTGCCCACAGAGGACAAGCCTGCTGTGCATGCAGTTATCACATGAAGCATTTGCATTAGAATAATTTTAAAAAGTCACATTAAACTTAGTGATCTCTTTGCAGAAAAGAGCACTTGAGCCAGAGCACATCTTAGGGTGAAATTATTCAAGGCAATGAAGCCTCTCAATTTTAAGAAAACTCAAGAGGGAAGCACTACTGCATATTTCTGAAGGAGAAATTAAGATTTTTAGACTTCCAAATAAAACTGGAAGAATGTTTCACTGAGTATTTCTGCTCTCGGCTCTTCAAAAATCCCTGCTTTAACTGACTCAGTAGCAGTCCTCCTCCTATTCTGCTGTGTCAATAGTGCCACAGTTAAAACTCAAACTAAAGAAAAAATGTCATCACTTTTTGCACAGGGATTAGACTTCCTTTCCTCAAGTTACAGCACTTAATTATATATGCAGAATGAGAAAATACATTTGGATGAAACAGAATTTGAACTGAAAACTTCAATTTAGACCTTAAATGCTTAGCATCAGTCATTAAAATCAGCTGAAACATGAAAAGTGCATTCCTTCCCCCAGAAATTTGAGTTGCTGGACTAGCTCATATCATTAACAAATTTTCTGAAACCTCCATGGTTTGCTGAAACCATCTTTTGATAGAAATATTCACTTCAACGAGTGCAAGAAAAACATTCATTTCAACAGATACCTGGGTACCAAAGAGACAGGAAAGTTTGTTTCTTCTCTACTTAAGAATAAAATTGAGTGTGAGGTCAGAAGCTTCTAATAGTTGCCAAAGGAGAAAGAAAACATGGTTTAGTTGTGCTAAAGTACTTACCAGTAATTCTCAAGAATCATGCCAACACATCCGGTAAGAAATGTGACCAGAAACCACTGGTCCAAAGTAAGTGTGGTGGACATTAGTCCACAAGAACCATGGAGTATTTCACCCTTCATCCTACTTGGGAGACTATCACTGACAGGAGGACAGCTCTGGAAGTTTCCTATTAGGACTGTGACATACACTTTCCGGACCTCCAAAATCTACCGTGACAGGGATAGCTCTCAGTTACATGTCATAAACTGACTGCACCAGGAGGAAACCCAGAGGTTTCTCAAAGCTGTTGGAAGTGGCAGTTGTGAGCATCAGCTGGAGTGAGAATCTGCACTCCCGCTCAGACCTCCTCTCTCTGCTTTCCTTTCCTATGTTGTATCTGCCTGTTTCTCACTTCTCCCTTTTGCTTAAATCAAGCAGCTTAAACAGGCAAACCAAAGTGTTTTCTAGTACTGCTGGCAGGCTTTCACGAAAAGCAAGTAGAAAACTTTGGTCTTAACCAATGCCAGTAAAAGTTTAGAAAAATTTTTTAGAAAAGACTAAACAGTGAAGTATTAAAAGAGATGCATAATTACACACACATTTACATAGCTAATGTAGAATGCTGATAAGCTGCTTCTGAACAGCCTGGAGAGTTTCAGCAATTAAACAGTTTTATTATATTGTTATTTTAAAGTCAAACAGCCCCATTGACACATCAATACAATTAATAAAAATTTGCTTAAGCAGAAACAAATATTTCCTTATACAGGTTTCTTTTCTTAAAGAAGATGTAGCAGCTCCATAAGAGATCTTAATCTTAACGCAGTTGCCTCCAATTTTATTGTAAATAACATGCTTCCAAGTGTCACATGCTCAGATGTGTAACATATTCTTCTTCCTATGTCTATTGCTCTTGGTCCTTCCATTGGACAGTTCCCAAACAAATATTTCATGCAACTTTTTCAGCTTCCGCAGTGAATGTCCTTGCCAAAATAGAAGGAAAATGAATTGCAACATAGCAAGGAAAGCATCATGGACAATTTGCAGGCACGATTGCTTTAGTTTGGGTATTTCTGGTTGGTTGGTTGTTTTTTTCTTTAAAAAGATGACCATTTACAGACTAACGGGCACTCAAGCCTGCTCCATGGCAAAGTCTAAGTAATAACCACAGCACAGATACAGCCTCTCCCCAGAAACATCTCTCTCTC